AAGAAGTGTAGAAATCTACTGATTAGAAAATCAACAGACATACAAGTATCAACCAATGAATGCACACATGGGTGAGACAGCAAATCAATCTCTCTCTCCCCCACCCTCACTCTAACATCAGCAATAGAAAAATATACAGAATGAGACAGACAGAGAGTAAATCAATAAACCACATTTGTTTTTTTGAAAACATTGATAAAATTGATACATTTTTACTTTATTAGTCAAGTAAAAAGAGAAAAGGAATCAAATACTAGAATCACAAATGGAAGAAAGTTACGACCACAGATTCTATAACTGAAAGAATAAAACAGGATGAGAGCAAACAACTTTACACTGATACATTCAAGAACTCGATGAAATAGACAAATAACTGGGAAGATATGAATTATAAGAACTAATACAAGAGGAAATAGCGCTCTACCAACTGAAGACATTGAATTCATAGTTAAAACCTTTCCCAAGGAGCCCAGACACCTTGACCACTGAAAATCCTAAGGAAGGAATATACCAAAAACCTATTGAATTCAAGTAAATTTAGCCAGGTTACAGAACACAAGGTCAATCTACAAGAACCAGTTGTATTTCTACCTAGTATCAGTAAATAGTTGAAAGTGAAAAAACTGTATCACTAACTAAAACATTAACAATGCAATTAGGTATGTTAACAACACGGGTGCTTCAGCTATGTACAGAAAATGACAAAATCTTATTGAAAAAAGCAATCCTAAATGACTAGAGAGACCTTATGTCTCTGAATTAAAGCACTCAATATTGAAATGTCAATTCTTAAAAAAGACAGACAAAAAGGCCAAGAGACATATGAAAAAAATGCTCAGTGTCACTAATCATCAGAGAGATGCACATAAATACAACTATGAGGTATCACTTCACACATGTCAGAGTGGCCGCCGTCAACAAATCCTCAAACAACAAGTGCTGGTGAGGGTGTGGAGAAAAGGGGACTCTAATACACTGCTGGTGGGAAAGCAGACTGGAGCAGCCACAATGGAAATCAATATGGTGTTTCCTCAAGAAATTAAAAATTGATCTGCCATTAACCCAGTGATCCCACTTCTAGCAATATGTCCTAAGGAGCCTGAAACACCAATCAGGGAGAATATATGTACCCCCATGTCCATAGCAGCACTATTTACAATAGCTAAGATCTGGAAAGAACCCAAGTGTCCATCAGTAGATGAATGGATAAAAAAGCTGTGGTACATGTACACAATGGAGTACTATGCAGCTGTAAGAAAGAAAGATCTTGTATCCTTTGAGACGACATAGAGGAACCTGGAGAGCATTATGCTGAGTGAAATAAGCCAATCAAAGAAAGATAAATACTACATAATCTCACTTATTTGTGGAATATAATGAACAAAATCAGCTGATGAATAAAATAGACCCAGAGACATAAAAAGGAGTACGGCTCAGACTGACAGACTTCAGAGGAGGGGATGGGGGGCGTGGATGAAATAAACCAAAGAATTTATATGCACATGTGCGTAACCAATGGACATAGACAACAATGCTGGGGGGGCGGCCGGATGGGGAGGAGGGCGTCTGGGGGGGAAAGATGCAACATCGGTAACAAAAATAAATTAATAAAAATTAGAAGAAAAAATAAAATATCAATTCTTTTCAAATTTATCGACAAGTTTAATGAAGTTTCGATCAAAATCCCGGCATACTTTTCTGTAGAAACTAATTAGCTAATTCTAAAATATATTCTAAACGCTACATGAAAATGTAAAGGATCTAGGTTAGCCAACCAATTCGGCAAAAGAAAATCAGAAGTGGAGGACTTACATTGCTTGATTTCAGGACTTGACTTAAAGCTACATTGATCAAGACAGTGTATTATTGGTGGAATAATAAAAATAGAAAAATAAACAGATAAGAAAGTGCAGAAATAGACCTTCACATATATGGATAAGAGATTTTCAGCTAGGGTAATCAATGGAGAAAGGATAATCTTTTTTTTTTTAATCCTCACCTGAGGACATTTTTTTGTTTGTTTTTGTGTTCAGATAGAGTGGGAAGGAGAGAGAGGAAGAGAGAGAGAGAGAGAGAGAGAGAGAGAGAGAGAGAAACATCGACGTGAAAGGGACACATCGAGTGGTTGCCAACCACAGGACCCAACCAGGGCCGGGGACAAACTGCAACCGAGATACATGCCCTTAGCAGGGACTGAACCCAGGTCTCTCTGGACCACAGGCTGACACTCTAACCACTGAGCCAAACCGGCCAGGGTGAGAAAGGATAATCTTAACAAATGATGCCGGACAATGCACACTATATTTAAAAATTAACGTGAAATGGATCATAGAACCAAGCATAAAAGTTAAACCGTAGATCCGGACGGTTTGGCTGAGAAGTTAGAGAGTCAGCCCACGGACCAAAGAGTCGCAGGTTCGATTCCATTCAAGGGCACAGACTTTGGTTGCAGTTTGTCCTTGGCCCTGGTTGAGGTCATGCGGGAGTCAACCAGTCAATGTGACCCTCTCACATCAATGTTTTTCTCTCTCTCTCCCTCCTGCTCTATCTGAAGATAAGTGGAAATAAAAACCCTTGGGAGAGGATTTAAAAAGAAGTTAAAATCATAAAATATTTAGAAGTGAGCACGGGACAAAATCTCTATGACCTTGGGCGTGGGCAAGGATTTCTTAGAGGCACTGAAGAGAAAATGATGAGCAGAATATGATAAAAAGGAAAGATGTCAGCTCTCCAGAAAGCACTGTTAAGGAGATGACAAGGCCACAGATGGAGAGATGTCCAATGTACATGTGTGACACATGACGGGTATCCACACTACATAAAGAACGCTCACATTCACTAACGAGGACGAACACTCTGATTTTGTGAACGTGGGCAGAGGTGTGGAACAGACACTGCACTAGAAAGACACACAAAGGCACACAGGCACGTGAGCTCATCGCCATCACTGGTCATCAGGGAAATAAAAAGCTCACTGCACACTGCACACTGCACACTGCACACTGCACGCACCATGTGGCCAGCAATGCCACCCCGAGATATAGCCGAGAGAACTGACAACACTGTGAGCGCAGGTGTTCACAGTGGCTTGCTTCAGAATCACCATGACCGGGAGACAACCCAAGTGTACTTCAACAGGCGAACGGACAAACGGTGGTATATCCATTCAGTGAAACTCAACTGTGACATTTGAAAGGAATGACCCGCGTCATAGAGGACACAGAGAGGAGTGCACAGACACTGCGCCCTCACACTTCAGCCCCCTCCCGTGACCTGTCTGTAGGGAGACAGCTGCTCAGAGGTGGTCGGAATCCAGGATGACAGTGGCAATTGGGAAAGAACCACTACCCTGAATTAAATGTTCTAATTCTTGACATTGGAGGGGACAGGAGGGTGACCTTCTTGAAAACTCATCCAACAGTCCCAGAAAATAGGGTGCATTTGGCTCCATGTAAATTTCATCACAACAAAACTGATTTGACTGAAAGCAAGTGGACAACTGGTCAGGGGAAAGGAGGGGAGTTTGGGGCAGGACAGGCAGCAGATGGGGCACGGGTGGGGTGAGGAGGCCAGCATCTCAGGGAAGGAGGCAGAGACCCTCAGGGACAGCAGGGCTCCCTCTGTGGGTTCTGGCCATGGACACCGGCCCCAGGAAGAGGGAGGGGCTCACAACAGGGAGGCAGCACCTCGTGCACGTGTTAGACCCAAGGAGGGCTGATCACTGTCTGATCCTTTACAGACTGGGGACGAGGGTCCACTTCCTGAGACCGTTCTGGCCACTGCCCCAGTGGGTGCTCTTGCGGGGGTATTTGCTCCCGTGCACATGGTCCCCTGCGTGCTGCCAATGTCATCCTGCCGTCAGAGCAGGCTGTTGTGCTCAGCCCTGCGGTACACTGAGCCCCACAGGCCTGCTCAGGTCACAGGGGAGCCCTGCCCTGAGACTCGGGTCCTTCACCCCCCAGAGGAGCCCCAAGCTGCCAGAGGAGGGCCCTGAGGCCCACGCAGACAGGCGACCTTGTGGGGCGGCCACCAGCTCCTTCATACTTTGTTTCCACACCTAACCCTTGACTCCTGCGAGCTGGGCAGCTCCCCTCCCCCACCAGGGCTCTGCTAACAGTGGGACCTGCAGGCGGACGGAGAGCGCCCGGGACACAGGCTGCGGAGCCCGGCCAGCTCCTGATGGCAGCTCTGAGGGTGCCTTTGCCCAGTGCGAAGGTGGGGGACATGGTCAGGGGACCTGAAAACCCCAGACCAGGCTGTGCCTGCAGGTGACCAGGCTGGGGGAGACGAGGGGCAGGGTCGCCGCACACTGACATGCCTGGGCCAGAGCCAGAGTCCTGCCCGGTCACCTGCCCTCCGGGGTCCCTCACTCCTTTCCACAGTCCCTGCGGCTGGGGGAGACGAGGGGCAGGGTCGCCGCACACTGACATGCCTGGGCCAGAGCCAGAGTTCTGCCCAGTCACCTGCCCTCCGGGGCCCCTCACTCCTTTCCACAGTCCCTGCGGCTGGGGGAGACCAGTGTCAGGGAAGCCAGCAGATGAGGGAAGCGATCGGGTGATGGAGTGAGTTTATTGGGGTGCCCGAGGAGGGGCTGACAGAGGAACTGGGAGGGAAGGCAGGTGACCCAGGGGCAGGGGGCGACGCCTCGAAGGAGGCAGGAGTCCAGGGAAGCATCAGGGTTGGAGGCTCCTGGGAGCAAAGAGCAGGTCAGGACACTGCAGACCCGGGGACCCGTCCTGGGTAGGGACAGCCATGTAACCCAGGTGAGGACCAGACTGCGGGGTGGGTGGGAGGATCAGAGTCTCAGAGTAAAACCTGAGCCCAGCTGGCCCTGGGGGACATGTCCGGTCAGCAGCAGGATTTCTGAGCCCAGACAGGAACACAGCAGGTGGGGCAGGAGCACACAGGGCGGCAGAGCAGGGACACGCAGGAGGAGGGTCTGCAGCAGGATGAGGGGCAGGGGGTGGGCAGGCTGTGGACCCAGAGCAGATGGGCACACATCACATGGACTTGCAGCACACGGATGTGCCACAGACGGGCCTGCAGCACACGGATGTGCCACAGACGGGCCTGCAGCACACGGATGTGCCACAGACGGGCCTGCAGCACACGGATGTGCCACAGACGGGCCTGCAGCACACGGATGTGCCACAGACGGGCCTGCAGCACACGGATGTGCCACAGACGGGCCTGCAGCACACGGATGTGCCACAGATTGGCCTGCAGCACACGGATGTGCCACAGACGGGCCTGCAGCACACGGGCACACAGCAGGCCTGCTGGCAGCACGAGGATGTGCAGGAGCTGCTGCAGGCTGACTGGCAGGGGCTGGACCCACAGGTGGCCTGGCAGCAGGTGCTGGACACACAGCTCACTGGGGTGCAGATGAGAGTCTGGGTGGGGACCACAGCACAGAAACTAGGGGCACAGCAGGTGGACGGGCCACAGGTGGGAACACAGCAGGGGGGCTGGCAGCAGCTGGGGACACAGCAGGTGGGCTGGCTGCAGCTGGGGACACAGCAGCAGGGCTGGCAGCAGCTGGGGGCACAGCAGGTGGGCTGGCTGCAGCTGGGGACACAGCAGGTGGGCTGGCAGCAGCTGGGGACACAGCAGGAGGGCTGGCAGCAGCTGGGGGCACAGCAGGAGGGCTCACAGCAGCTCTCTGGACAGTCGTCCACCTGCCAGGAGGACCTGGTGCAAGAGTCACTAGAACCTGGCAGGCAGGCACGGCTGTCATAGCTCAGGTCACTGGCGCAGACGGACCGGGTGGACGCGGCCATGGTGGGGCAGTGGCTGGAGGTGAGCTGGAGGAGGTGTGAGTGTGTGAGTGTGAGTGTGAGTGTGTGTGTGTGTGTGTGTGTGTGTGTGTGTGTGTGTGTTGTGCTGGGCTGTTGCCTTTATACCCTCCTGGCTCTGTGTCCCAGGCCCTCCAGCCCCTATTTCCGCCTCCCAGAGGCATCAGGGATGTTTGTTTCCCTGGGATGCTGTCCAGCTCGTACATGTTCGTGATTGTCCAGCTCGGGAGCCTGTCCCCAATGCCCCCGGGGAATAGGAGTTGGGGCAGGTCTGAGCCTGGGTCCTCCCACGAGCGAGAGTGGGGTGGGTGGGTGGGGTCCTGCCTGAGGCCATCCTGGGTGTGCCAGGACATCGCCCACTCAGCCAGGGTGTCCTCAGTGCCGGGTCACTAGGCATGTTGTAGGCAGCCGCATGCACACACAGATGCTCACACAGATGCACACAGGGGCACACACAGTCCATTCTCATTATCCTCAGTAGGCCTGTTCTATAAAGTTGCCACAGACACTGAATTAGCAAACACTGGACCACGGCTCCGGGAAATGCAGGGTCGGGTCCTGCGGCCTCCCACAGTATTTCCGACTCAGTCAATACGGGCCCTTGTTTGGTGTGTGTATCTGTTTATTTGTTTATTTATTTGTAACTTATCTTTATTGTTGACTGTATTACAGATGTTCCTCCTTTTTCCTCGATTGACACTCTCCTCATCGCTTCTATCCCCCTCCTGCCTTTCCCCACGCTGTTGTCTGTGTCCGTTGGTTATGCACACATGCGTATAAGTTCTCTGGTTTATTTCTTCCCACCCCCCTACCCCCCTTTCCTTTGAGGTTTGTCAGTTTAACAACCGATTTGTACTTCTTAATCCCTCCACTTTTTCACCCATTCCCCCAACCCCCTCCCTCTGGAAACCAAGAAAATGTTCCCTGTATCCAGGAGAATGTTTCTGTTCTGCTTGTTCATTTTGTCTGTTGATTCCATTGTCGATACATATGTATTCATTGCCATTTTGTTCGTTCATATATTTTATCTTTTTCTTCAAGAAGACCCTTCATCATTTCATATAATAACGGTTTGGTGGTGATGAACTCCTTTAGCTACTTCTTGTCTGGGAAAGTCTTTATATGGCCATCGATTCTACATGACAGCTTTGCAGGATAGAGTAATCTTGGTTGTAGGTTCTCGCTTTCCATCACTCTGAATATTTCTTGCCACTCCCTTCTGGCCTGCAAAGTTTCTTTTGAAAAATCAGTTGACAGTCTTATGGGAACTCCCTTGAAGGTAACTAGCTGCCTTTCTCTTGCTGCTTTTAAGATTCTCTCTTTGTCTTGAACCTTTTGCATTTTGATGATGATGTGTCTTGGTGTGGGCCTCTTGGGGTTCATCTTGTTTGGGACTCTCTGTGCTTCCTGGACTTGTATGTCTGTTTCCTTCACCAAGTTAGGAAACTTTTCTGTCATTATTGTTTCAAATAGGTTTTCAATTTCTTGCTCTCTCTTCTCTCTCTTCTCCTTCTGGCACCCCCCAAGAAGCGAATGTTGGCACGCTTGAAGTTGTCCCAGAGGCTCCTTACACTATCCTGTTTTTGGATTCTTTTTTCTTTTTGCTGTTCTGATTGGGTGTTTTTTGCTTCCTTATATTCCAAATCGATGGTTTGCTTCTTGGCTTTACCTACTCTACTGTTGAATCTGTGTAAATTATTCTTTATTTCAGTTAGCGCCTCCTTCATTTCTGATTGGTTCTTTTTAATGCTCTTGAGGCCCTCCCTAAGTTCACTGAGGTTCTCACTAAGTTCATTGAGCATCCTTATAAGCAGTATTTTGAACTCTGCATGTGTTAGGTTGCTTATCTCCATTTCGCTTAGTTCTTTCCCTGGGGTTTGGTTCTGTTCTTTCATTTGGGACCTGTTTCTTTGCCTCCTCATTTTGGCTGCCTCCCTGTGTTTCTTTCTATGTATTAGGTAGAGCTGCTATGTCTCCTGCCCTTCCTAGGGTGGCCTATTGTAGTAGGTGTCCTGTAGGGTCCAGTGGCACAGCCTCCCTGCTCACCGAGCTGGGCCCTCGAGGTGCACACCTTGTGTGGATTTTATAGCCTTCTGTTGTAATTGAGTCTTGATTGGAGTCTTGATGTGGCTTCTTCTTTAATTCCATAGTTGTAGGACTTCCATTCAGCTTGATGTCAGGCGGTTCTGAATGATGGTTGTTCTATAGTTTAGTTGTAACTTTGATGTGGTTGTGGGAGGACACGATACCATGTTTACTTACCCCGCCATGTTGACCGGAAGTCTCGATGTGTGTGTCTGGGTAAGGCTTAATGCACGTATGACAGATGTCCTATTTACAATCGATGGCAGCACCTGCACTGTCGCCCTGGCGCCCAGACGCTGTGCCGTGTACTTTCCCCGTGGGGCGCGCCGCAGCCGTCCTGCCCTCAGGACACCAGGCAGCACTTCAGCTCCCTGCTGGGGGCCCTTTTATCCAGCAAAGTCAGGACCATCAAACCCCAAAATGAGGACAATCACGACACTGAGAGACCCTGGGGAGGACAGGTTCCCGACCGAGACTGAAACAACAGGCCGTGTTCCCGGGAGCCTCAGCTGGGAGCGTGCACCTCGGGGACTCAAGTGTTCGGCCACCTGCCAAGTCCACCGAGGACCACCCAGGCACCGCACGTGTTGATTTGGGGGTTACCACTGATGTAGTGAGGAACCCCCGAAGGATGAGGATGAACTGTACGTCTCTCTCTCATCTACCTCCTGGGCATACGTACATACGGATAGTACCTTTGTGTGTACATTTTGAAAAGACAAATGTATCATATTTGACCCACTGTGTGTTTGTTAAAGACTGAATCATGCGGAGCTGCTCTCGTCTGACACATAGGACTTCACTTCCTGGTGACAGCGGCCTGGGACTCCAGGATGGCCTGTGGCTTGATTCCTGTTGCTGTCCCCAGAGCTGTGTGCCCCAGGCAATGCACGTGTCTCCCACAGTCTCCGGGGGCTGGCGGTACAAGGTCTCCTGTGGGTCACATCCTGGGGTCTCATCCGGGGGGCTCGGCTGGGGAAGGAGTTGCTTCTCGTCAGAATTCGGGTCCTGGCAGGTGGTCCGACTGAGGGCCCCAGTGCCTGGAGGCTGTGGATGGCAGGTGCTCTCGTTTCCTGCCACGCGGCCCTGTCCATGGGCAGCTCACAGGGGACAGCTGGTTCTTCACCGCCAGCTCAGTACAGTCTCCTCCCATGACCAGCGTTACAATCCTACATAATGTAACCACACACCCCTCTCCTGCTGGTCACCTGTGCCAGACACTGCCTGCACCCCAGGGGGTGTAACCACACACCCCTCTCCTGCCGGTCACCTGTGCCAGACACTGCCTGCACCCCAGGGGGTGTAACCACACACCCCTCTCCTGCTGGTCACCTGTGCCAGACACTGCCTGCACCCCAGGGCGCCCAGGGAACCAGTTAGAAATGTCCCACCTGATGCCCTCTTTGGCACGGGCTTCTCCAGTTGGCGCTTGGGAAGCCTTGGCACCCAAGAAACACAGTCCCCAGGTGTCCGCAAGACAGGTCCCAGGGCAGCTGCATTGGGAGCCATGGTTCTCTCGTGAAGCCAACACAGACCCAGGACACGCTATTTGCAGACACACCACCTTCCTACCAGGACGTATGAACCAGAGGCAGCTGAGGCCGCATCAACGGAGCGCACAGCACACCAGGAGCTTCATCGCTGAGCAACAGCTCAGAGAGAAAACACAGACCCGCCACTAATGAGAGTTCTCTGAGTCCAAACACACACAAGGAAGAAGGCGTGTGAGCATCCTGAGGGGAGAGACAAGCCAGGGGGTATAAAAGCTGACAGCCCAGGAACCTCACACACTCACACTCACTCACTCACTCACTCACACCTCCTCCAGCTCACCTCCAGCCACTACCCACCATGGCCGTGTCCACCCTGTCCGTCTGCTCCAGCGACCTGAGCTATGGCAGCCGCGCCTGCCTGCCCGCTTCCTCTGACTCCGGTACTGTCTCCTCCTGGGAGGTGGACGACTGTCCAGAGAGCTGCTGTGAGCCCTCCTGCTGTGTCCCCAGCTGCTGCCAGCCCACCTGCTGTGTCCCCAGCTGCTGCCAGCCCACCTGCTGTGTCCCCAGCTGCTGCCAGCCCACCTGCTGTGCCCCCAGCTGCTGCCAGCCCACCTGCTGTGTCCCCAGCTGCTGCCAGCCCTCCTGCTGTGCCCCCAGCTGCTGCCAGCCCTCCTGCTGTGTCCCCAGCTGCTGCCAGCCCACCTGCTGTGCCCCCAGCTGCTGTGCCCCAGCCCCCTGCCTGACCCTCATGTACACTCCAGTGAGCTGCATGTCCAGCCCCTGCCAGTCAGCCTGCAGCAGCTCCTGCACACCCTCATGCTGCCAGCCCTCCTGCTGCACCTCCTCCCCCTGCCAGCAGCCCTGCTGTGTGCCCGTCTGCTGCAAGCCCGTGTGCTGTGTGCCCGTCTGCTCTGGGCCTGCCCCCTGCCCCTCATCCTGCTGCAGACCCTCCTCCTGCATGTCCGTCATCTGCCGCCCCGTGTGCAGGCCTGTGTGCAGGCCGGCCTGCTGCGTGCCCGTCTCCTCCTGCTGTGCCCCCTCCTCCTGCCGGCCCAGCTGCTGCCGCCCGGCCTCCTGTGTGTCCCTGGTCTGCCGCCCCGTGTGCTCCCGCCCAGCCTGCTGAGTCCCAGCCTCAGCCCCGACATCCTGCTGCTGAGTGATCTTGTTAAGGGCACCCCAAAACTCAACAGCTCACTGCCATCTGTACCCCCAAGATTCGTTACTGAGAGCTGAGACAGCTGTCAAGTCCCCTTCCTTGGTCCGGGCACCAGACATCTGTGGTCACCCAGCCACCACTCTGCATTTCTGCCTCTGGGACCAGCTCACCCCTTTCTCCAAGTACTGACTTCCCCCCAATCATCGTGCCCTGCCACCCAGCCCGGGCTGGCAGTGACCCCAGCGAGGCCAGCGGGTCTCCCCCAGGCCTTGGAGCCTGGAGTGGAGAGAGTGAGAAGCCAGACTCTCCAGCCACCCAGCGTGTGGCCCCCGCGCGTCCGCTGCAAGCTGTGTGCGTCGTTCACCTTCCCACACCTCGCCCTCTGTGCGCGGCCCCTTCCTCCCAATAAAGTCCTTTCTGATCCATTTACCCAGGATGCATTGCTGTTACTTACAACAAACACCCGACCTGACATGCTCCAGGTGAGGTGGGTCCGGGTTTTCCCTCAGGGCCACCAGGGTCCTGCCCTGCAGTGGTGTCCTGGAAGCCCCTGTCACTCTGGCCACATCTGTGTCCAGAAGATGGACATTCTTTCTGGACACAAAGGCTGAACAGTCTCTGTGTGGTGCCAGCCCTGGGGAGGAGCCACCCTCAGGGGTGACCAGATGTCTACAGTATCCTGGATCTAGGAGGGCAAATCCAGAAAGGGGTCAGCACAGCAGACCTGGGGTTTCTGGGACATGTGACGAGGGGCCTCACTGTGCAGACACGATGGCTGTGCTGACATCTACTGTCCCCGGGAGTCTGGAATTTGGGGGTGTGCCAGGCAGCGGTGCCACGTGACCAGCCCCCGATCAAACACCTGGGCTCTGGTCTGACAAGCTCCCTTGCAGACACCTCACACAGGCTGTCACTCCTGCTGAGCAGCTCAGCACGTCCAGGGTCACAGACACTGGGAAAGACACCCTGGGCCCCAGCACCGAGCCGCTGCTGGGACGCAGCAGGCAGCCTCCGGAGCCCCACCTGCTGGCTGGGCTGATGGAGAGCAGGGCGGAAAGGGACGGTCCCAGGTACGGGCGGTGTAGAAAGTCCAGCTCATGTGAGAGCGAGTCCAAACCATGGAGTGGGAGGCACATGGGAACACGTGTGTCCACATGTGTCCAGATGCAGGTTCACACATGACTGAGCAAATTTGGGAATGGTCTCCTAAAACTAGAAGTGCAGAGCAAAGCATGCAGACACAGGTGATGTGAAAATCTCCGCGTGGCCCATGAGAGGTTCTGGGTCTAGATACTAGTACAGGCTGCACTGTCCAGGTGGCTCCATTGGTTGGAGCGTTGTCCCATTCACCAAAAGGTTATAGGTTTGATTCCTGGTCAGGGCACATACCTAGGTGTGGGTTCGATATCCAGTTGGGGCACATATAAGAGGCAACCAGTCAATGTTTCTCTCTCACATAGATATTTCTCTCTCTCTCTCTCTTTCTCTCTCTCTCTCTTTCTCTCTCAATCAATAAACATATCTTTGGGTGAGGATTAAACCCCCCCCCCTTTTTTTTAAATAGCACATTTTCCCAACATGGAGGCTTGCATTTTTCTATCTTTGCCAGTTTGATAAGAAAAAAATATCTTATCATGATTTATTTAACAAAGTACATATCCTCCCAAAGCGTGAACATGCTATTATCGATGTATGTAATATACCAGGTGGGCAGGCATGTAAAGTCTCTCTCATCTTGATTATCATGAACACCTCTGTGAGGACCCTCATGTATACCATGGCACTTAAATTCCTTAAAGTGGAATTTCCGGGTCAGGGTGTTTTCCAAGGATAAATTCTGAGAGATACTGACAAATATCTCCTTAAAAGATAGAAAACAGGGAACTCTAAGCTCCCCTCCCCAAAACACTGAAGGGGCGGGGACTGGCAAAGCTGACAGAACCAGCTTTATCTAAACTCTGGGAAATGGTCAAAGGTTTACTACAACCAAGGAAATGCTTCCTCAAGAAAAATGCAAGTGCAACCATGTAGGACCGCTTTGCCCCGTTCCCCCACCCCCAGCTCAGCAGCAGTGTTGAGACAGCAGCCTGTGCTGCTCCTGGTGCTGGAGGGAGCACGGCAGACCTTGTCCTAAAGGAAGCGTGGTTGTCTGTTTTAACTTGGCTGGTGGCTTCTTGAAGGACCCATACAAAGGGCTTGCCTTTATTTCCTCTAATTCAGGACTTCCTCAAGCCATTAAAGCATGTGTACGGACAGTGTTTGTCAGATAAACAAGTTAAGGCACGCGAGGAAAAAACATCAGCTTTGGCAAACAGGAGACACCCTGATAAGCCTAGAATGACAAGCTCAGGACTGACATGCTTTGAAGAAAGAGGTTTTCAAAGCTTCCACCAATTCCTGGAAGTCTAGAAGCCACACATGTACCTATGATGATGAACATGCTCAGAAAAGACCTGAGAAAGCCTCTGACTGCGTTTCAGCTCTGAGCAAGCAGGAAGTGAAGGTGAAGGCAGAGTTTACTCCTCAGCTGAGGGTCGAGGACATGCTCCAACACACAAACAGAGCCCAACTACAAAGACTGGGGAAAAAACATTTTTGGGGTCCAAGCGTTTAAGGAACTTTTTGTCAAATCACTATCTGACTACTAACAGAGACTACACATAACAAAGAGTACAGTCATTACAAAAATAGTTTAAAAGAGTTGCTAAACAAACAAAAAGAAAAAAACAAGCCACAATAATCAGCAACAACAAACTATAGGGAGGAAGGAGAGTTTGATGTCAACTATCACATTATAATATTCAAAATGTCCAATTTTCAAAAACAAGTATGAGGCATGTAAAGTCCAGGAATTGAACATACTAGACAGAGCCAAGTCAACTCTATTAAAATACTCTAAGAGTTCATGGAAATCATGGACAAAGAGCTAAGAGAAACCAAGAGAATTATGTCTCATCAAATAGAGTATATAAATAAAGAGACAGAAATATTTGAAAAATTGAAATTCAGAGTTTAAAAGTACAATAACTGAAATGAAAATTTCACTAGAGGGTCTAAATAGCACATTTGAGCAGGCAGAAGAAAGAATTAGTGAAAGTGAAGATAGGTAAACTGAAATACTCCAGTCTGAGAAGTAAATAGAATAAATAGAATGAAAATAAAAGAACAAAGATTAAGGGACCTGTGGGACACCATCAAGCAGAACAACATATACTAGAGTCCCAGAAAGAGGAGAAAGAGAAAGGAGCAGAAAAAATATTTTAAAAAACAAAGGTCATGCCCTGGCCAGTTTGGCTCAGCGGTTAGAGCGTCGGCCTGCGGTCTGGAGAGACCCGGGTTCGGTTCCCGCTAAGGGCACGTACTTCGGTTGCAGTTTGTCCCCGGCCCTGGTTGGTCGTGCGAGTGGCAGCCACTCGATGTGTCCCTTCACGTCGATGTTTCTCTCTCTCTCTCCCTCCCACTCTATCTGTACAAAAAATGGAAAAATATCCTCGGGTGAGGATAAAAAAAAAACAAAAAACCAAAGGTCATGCTCTGGCTGGGTGGCCCAGTTGGTTGGAGCATCATCCAGTGCACCAAAAGGTTGCAGGTTCAACTCCTGGTCAGGGCTCATGCCTAAGTTGTGGGTTCAATCCCTGGTCAGGGCACATATAAGAGGCAACCAATTGGTATTTCTCACATTGATGTCTCTCTCTCTCCTTCTTTCTCCACCCCCCCTCTAAAAATCAATAAAAAATATCCTTGAGTGAGGATTAATAATAATAATAATAATAATGGTCAAAAACTTCCCAAATTTGATGAAGCATATGAGTCTACATATCCAAGAAGCTAAATAAACTCCAAATAGAATAAACTCAAAGAGATCCACACTGAGGCACACTAAAATCAAATTATTGGAAGACAGAGAGAGAATCTTAGGAGCAGCAAGAGGGAAGATTAACAGTGAAACTGACCATTCAGAACAGACAGGCCCAGATTCAGGTAGTACCTTCTGCCTTTGCTCTGATCATTAAAGCCCTCAAAGAACCACCAGGAGACAGAAAAAAGCAAAAAAACAAAAAACAAAAAAAACATTAAGCATGGTGGTAATATCTCTTTCGATGACATTGTCAACACTGCCCAAAAGAGGTAGCACCGATCTTTAGCTCCAGAAATCTCTGGAACCATTGAAGAGCTCCTGGGGACTGCCCAGTTTGTGGACTGCAATGTTGATGGCCTCACCCCTATGACAACAGTGGCACAGCGGAATGTCCAACTAGTTAAGAACCACAAAGGAAAATATTTCAATTAAAGATCATTTGACAACAATAACAATAGTAGTAATAATAATAACTCAAATAGATCAAAGACTTAAACATAGGAGCTAAAGCTATAATTTTTAGAAGAAAACATAGGGGTAAATCTGTCAGACCTTAGCTTTGGCAGCAGTTTCTTAGGTATGACACGAAAAGCACAATCAATAAAAGAAAAAAATAGATAAATTAGACTGCATTAAGATTTTAGAGTTTTGTATATTAAAGGACAGTGTCCAGAGAGTGAAAAGACAACCCACAGAATGAAAGAAAACACTTGCAAATTATAATTCTGATGAGTTTAGTATATATAATACATAAAGAACTCTCACAACTCAACGGGAAGACAACATAATTAAAAAGGGGCAAAGCACTTTGATAGACATTTCTCCGAAGAAGATATACAAATGGCCAACAACACATGAAAGGAAGCCCAGTATCATTGGTCCTTTGGGAAATGCAAATCAAAACCCCTTTATTCCCGCCAGGGTGGCTATAATGAAAAACTAAATAAATAACAAGTGCTGGCAAGTGGGTGAAGAAATGGAACCCTCATACATTGCTGTTAAGAATGCAAAATTGTGCAGCCCCTGTGGACAATAGTCTGGCAGTTCCTCAAAAGTTAAATATAGGATTATTATATGACCCAGCAATTCCACTCCTAAGTATATACCC